GGAGGGTGAGCAGCAATGCAAAGGACAACTCCCCGAGCTACAACTTCACTGCAGCCTCGCAGACAGAGCCTGCTTCTTGGCCGGTGCACTCCTTAATCAGAGGGAGAGAGGGAAACGACATTTATTTCCTGGCTCTTTCCCACCTCTGGTCTTCTACTGCATGATGCTTCTTTTTTTAAAAGTAATTAATTTGTGGGGCCAGTGGTTAAGGGTAGTTGGACTCCCACGTGGCCGACCATGGTTTGAGTCCTGGATCTGGTGGCTTGCTTTCTCACTTTCTCTCTCTCTCTCTCTCTCTTGCTCTGTTCCTCTCTGTTCAAATTAAATAAATTAAGTTAAATAAAAAGAAAAAAAAGTAATTACTTTGTTCAACTTTATTTATTTATTTATTTTTAATTTAACCAGAGAGGGAGAGAGAGAGAGAGAAAGTGAGAAAGTAAGCTGCCAGGTCCAGGACTCAAACTACGGTCGGCCACGTGGGAGTCCAGCACCCTTAACCACCATACCACCTACCGGCCCCTATTTTTTCATCTTAAGAAATATTTTTTGCTATGGTGACAAGGGCTCACCAGAGAGTCAGAGAAAGACTATAGATCAAAAGCGAGAAATCATCCCCCAGGGGGGATGACCACGTTACAATCCCTTCTCCTCCATTCTCCTCTCAAGATTTTGGGCATACACGCACGCACACCCAGTATAAGTTTTTTAAGTCTCTGGGTCTGGGACTCGAACTGCTGTCAACTACGTGGCAATCCAGCGAAGTAACTATTACACCATCTGCTGGTCTCACACGATGCTTCTTTACGGATAGTGAACATGCCTGCTTTTCTGGATTGCACCCCCTGGACTCCTTCAGCAGGCCCTTGGGAAGCATGGAGCCTCATTCCAGTGAGTCTAGAAGTGTCTGGAGGAGCCAGGGCCCAGGATAGTGGACTTCAGGTGGCAGACATGCTGCAGCGGGGCAGGTGGCCTACAGTCAGGGGACAGGGATGAGAGAATCTGAGCTTCGTGTTCGATGAGCACCGCAGAGTTTGTGATTAAGTCACCACTGAGAGCCTCTGACTCAGAAGTTGCAAACTTGGAGACTGTCCTAGGTCATGTCAAAAGTGACATGAACCCGAAATCCAGCATGGTGGTTAAAACACTATATTCTCACATGGTTAACCACGGTTCAAATCCCAGACCTGGCAGCTTGAAAATCACGCTGGGTGCATGTGCGTGGGTGCCCCAAAATCCTGAGGAGAGAATGGAGGAGAAGATTGTGGCATGACCATCGCCCATGGGGGATTATTTTTCACTTTCCTTCCCTCTGTCTCTAGCGAGCGCACACACCTTACCGCAGAAACCCAAAAAAAAGTGCCATGGACCGGGGACCAGATGGTGTTGCAGCAGTAACGCAGGGTGCCCACGAGCCAGTGTCACATGGGAAGGCCCCTGGTCAAGCCTAATGACCTCCTTGGGTGTGCCCATGATCTGGGGCTGGCTGAGGCTGGGGTGGGCCACAGCATTGGGGCTGTGTTGGGGGTGTTCTCTCTGTCTCTGTTTCGGTCTCTCTCCCTAATGGAAGAAATAAGTAAACTTTTTTTAAAAAGTGAACAGGCCAGCCAGTGGTGCGGTGGTTAGGGAGACCAGACCTCACATGGCTGGCAACACACTTCCAGTCCAGGACCTGGCAGCCGGAAAGGGGGGCCGGGTGTGTGTGTGTGCATGTCCAAAATCCCAGGAGGGAAATGGAGAAGAGGGGACTGTGGTGGCCCATGCCCCCTGCAAAACGCTTTCTCACTCCCCTCGTCCCCCCCACACACCGTGTCTGTCTCTGGCCCTATGTCAAATTTTTAAACATTTTAAAAAAAAAGGAAA